CCATTTACTGGTGCAGTCCTTCTTCTCCCGGTGATATCCCTCCTTTTTCTGGAAGCGTCTCACTTATACTGGTATGCCTCACTTCTCCCGGAAGCGACCAACCTCTGCTTGGATCGCCTAATCCCTCATGGGGAGACCCACTTTGCTTAAGTCGCCTCATTTCTTCCTCCTAAGAACGACCAATTTGCTGTAGGCGGCCCACTTATCTGGGACGCCCATCTTCTGCTAGAAGTGCCCCTCTTCTTCCTGATGCGTCCCACTTCTACTACGAGTGCACCTTTTCTGTTGGGGCGCCCCTGCTGAAGAGTCTTTTTTCTACTGTGAATAGGGCAGCCCTCTCCTGTTGGGCGACCCCAAATTCTGCTGGAGGCTCCCCACTTCTGCCCAACTTTTGATGTGGTGCCCCTCTCTTGCAGGGGCACTTTTCTTTTGCTGGAGACGCCACTCTTGTGGGGGCGCCCTTCCACTGCGGGGAACGTCTATCTTTTGCCAGAGACACCCCTTTTCTTCTTATGGGGCTCCTGTTTTTTTTTTGCTGGGGCGAGGCGACCCTCTTCTGCTCGGAACGGGGCACCCTTCCTTTTACTGGGGCACCGCCCCTCTGCTGGGGTTGCCCTTCCGCTGTCAGGGGCGCCCCTCTTGGTAGAATATACTCCTTTTTTGTAATGGGGCGCCCCTCTTCTACTGGGGGCGCCCAACGGCTGCTGTCTGCTGGGGCGCCCATCTGCCGCTGGGGCGTGTCTCGTCTGCCGGATATTGTCAATGGGGCGCCCATATCCTGCTTGGCGGGCCCAACCTCTGCTGGAGGCTCCCTATTTCTGATTAACTTTTGCTGTGGCGCCTCTCTTCTGCTGGGGCGCCCCTCTTCTGCTTGGGGCGCCCGTCTCCTGCTGGAGACCCCTCTCTTCTGCTGGGGCGCCCCTCTTCTGCCAGTGGCACCCATTTTCTTCTTATGGAGCTCCTTTTTTGTTGGGGCGCCCATCTGCTGTCAGGGCGCCCCTCTTCTCGGAATGGGGGCGCCTCTCTCCGTTTGCTGGGGCGTCGCTCCTCTTCAGGGGTGCCTTCTCCTGCTGGGGGTGGCTTTCCACTGCCAGGGGCGCCCCTCAACAGAATGTATCTTTTTATTCTTGTAATAAGACGTTCCTCTTCTGCTGGGGGCGCCCATCTGCTGCTGGGGCGACTCTCATCTGCTGGGAATGGGCAATTGGGCGTCACTCTCCTGCTTGGTGAGCCCAACTTCTGCTGGAGGCGCCCTATTTCTGCTGAACCTTTGCTGTGTCGCCGCTCTTCTGCTCGGGGCGCCCTCTCTGCCGCGGGATATGGGCGCCTTTTTCGGATGGGGGGGGGGGCGGCCGCCCCCGTCGCCCCCCCCCCTGGATCCGCGCCTGACCACGAATCAAATTCATGAGCATCCACTAGGAGTTTTCCTGTATCATCCCCTGGTGCTCGCACGGTTGAGACAAAAACGAGTAAGATTCTGGCCTGCAATACGTCTTTTCACGCAACACGATCCAGAAAAAACTAAGGTATTAGCTCAGAATTCAGATGTGTTTGACAGGTGATTTTGAGCATGCAAGACAGCGTCTATAACGCATTTAGGTCTTCGGCTTTTGGAGGGGGGTCAACTGACCCTCTCAGACCATTTGGAGGGTCATGACCCCGTGCCCCCCTCCGCCAGGATCCGCCACTGAGTTATTCATGCGTTGCTGTACATAGGAGGTGTGTGAAAGAAAAGTATGCCTAGCAAAAACCTTTCTATCAAATTTTTCAACAGGTCCACTACTGGACCTGGACCACATGGACTCAATGAGGGCCCATGGCTCTCTGATGGTTCACGGAACCATTAAGGGCCCACTAGCTTGTGGTGGACTACGACTCATTGAGATCTACTCACTGCTATCGGGCTCCGATGCTTGAAATATGAGATAACACTAATACAGGCCAAAATGGCTGATTCCTATGTGGATCTTTTAACAAACAATAAGGTATTAGGTATCTACCTATTATTCGACACGTCTGATCATAGAATAATGATGATGTTGAATAATATGTTGGTTGATTGACAAAGTACGGTTGAAGGGCATATTTTCCGTGTTTTAACCTACCTTATACCCTCCCGTACTTTGCATCGTATGTCGCGCCTCCATCCAGTAGGAGGGGAGAGATGAAGGGGACTGGACGGGAGGGGGGGAGGGTGTCCGCTTCGGTCGTCGGCCGTGGGTGTCGCTGCCGGCGCGACTATCGACTCCGGTGGCCGCGGCGCGGCGGCGCTTGCGCCCTGCGCGCCCCGCTGCCCAGTGCCGCACGCCGGGCGGTGGCGGGTGGTGTGTGACGCGCCGGCGGCAGGGCGGCGGCGGCCCGTGAGGGGAGCGTCCCCTGAGTGAGAGGACTGCCGGACAGCGGGACACGCTGACAGCTGGGTAAGTGCAGACGGCTCGGTCCGCGGCACCACGCCGAGTAGGGATATGTTGTATCATGATAATATCTCGTGGCTTTAGAATATCAATATCTGTTCTTCAAGCTTCAAAATTACCTGCCCGTGACCTAGCCTCTACTCAAACTAGCTGAAAATGACCTAAAGGCTGAAGGCTCAAGCCTCAAACAGCGCGCAGATGACAATATTTTCGAATCATGTGGTCAAACTGTCATAAGAAGTGCAACCAGGGGCGGATCCAGGAAAACCCCAAGGGGAGGGTCATGAATCGAAGTGGTGCCCCTACCTATACCCAAAATTAAAAACTCAACGGATTTCGTCCACTTCATTTTGGTGGTGCCCCCATTTTCAGTTTCTTTATTTTTATTTTTTATTTTTAGTCAGTATCTTAACTCTTAGCCACAACCACATTTACCAATTGTAAGCAGGTATATGAATGTGCTATGTGTATATATGTTGTGGACGCTGAGTAGTGAGTACTTACCAGGAACGTTATCAGGTAAGCAAATCGTTGTCAGTCCGACGAACTTTACCCTGGCGTCTAAAGGGTCTGTCCTTGACACTTCAGGCTTGTCAGGGGCACCAAAGTCCTTCGAGGGACACCACAAACCTGTCAGGGGCACATACGGCCTTGTAGGGGCACCACAGGCCCGCCAGGGGCACCACAGGCCTGCCAGGAAGCAGGGGTACCACAGGTCTAGCAAGTATACACGACAGGCCTGTCAGGGGCACAACGGGCCTGTTGGGCCCATGAGCACCCCTAGGGGCAGGGGCACCACAGTCCTTCCAGGGGCACCGCAGGCCTGTGAGGGGCACCAGCGGCCTAGCAGGGGCACCAGTCAACACAGGCCTGCCAGGGGCACCACAGACCTGCCAGGGGCACCAGAGGCCTGCCAGGAGCACCACCGACCTCGCAGGGGTAACTTGGGCCTGTCAGGGCCCAGGGGCACCACGGGCCATTCGAGAGGCACTTCAGGCTTTTCAGGGGCACCATAGTCCTCTCAGGGCGCAGGGGTAGCAGGGGCACCAGAGGCCTGCCAGGGGCACTACAGGCCTAGCAAGGGCACCACTGGTCTATCAGGGGCACCACGAGCCTGTCATAGCCAGGCATCTCAGGCTTGTCAAGGCCCAGGGGCACCACAGGTCTGTGAGGGGCACCAGCGACCTAGCAGGGGCACCAGTCAACACAGGTCTGCCAGGGGCGCCACAGACCTGCCAGGGGCACCACAGACCTGCCAGGGGCACCAGAGTTCTGCCAGGGGCACCACCGGCCTCGCAGGGGCACCTTGGGCCTGTCAGGGGCACCACGGGCCTGCCGAGGGGCACCACGGGCCTGCCGAGGGGCACTTCAGACTTTTCAGGGGCACCAGTCCTCTCCGGGCGCAGGGGCACCAGAGGCCTGCCAGGGGCACCAGCGGCCTAGCAAGGGCACCAGAGGCCTGCCAGGGGCACCACAGGCCTAACAAGGGCACCACGGGCCTGTCAGGGGCACCTCAGGCTTGTCAGGGCCCAGGGACACCACAGTCCTTCCAAGGGCACCGCAAGCCTGTCAGGGGCACCAGAGGCCTGCCAGGGGCACCACAGGCCTAGCAAGGGCACCACTGGCCTGTCAGGGGCACCCCAGGCTTGTCAGGGCCCAGGGGCACCAGGCCCGTGGTGTCCCTGCTAGGCCTGTGGTGCCCCTGGCGGTCCTGTGGTGCCCCTGTCAGGACTGTGATACCCCTGATAGGCCGGTGGTGCCCCTGGCAGGTCTTTGGGCCCCCGGGCCTCAAGGGGGGGCATGACCCATGTGACCCCCCCCCCCTTGGATCCGCCACTGAGTGCAACACCTGACCTATGCACATTGCACAGGGCGTCGTCTAAAGGATTTCCATGTAGACGAAAAATTCTGATGACCACTGTGACGTCACACCTAAATGACGCCATGCAAGGTCGTAATCTGTAAGAATCTTTGCAAGGTCAATGATGCATGAGCGAAGCATCGGATTCGGATCTTGCAAGGAATGCAGGAAATCACGATGCTTAAAAGACTAGTTTCAGTCGTTTCAGATCATTCCCGGCGCCAAATAACAGTTTCCACATTTCCCCTTTGACTGACTTACCTATGTCAAGGTAAATGGTAATGGTAACTATGGTAAGGACAAGTTACGGGCCCGATCCGATCTCAAGTGACCTTGAGGAAAAATTCAAGCTACTTATACAAGTTGTGGAATCCTTTTCCTTGGAGGACACCGGGCCTCCAAGTTTCAGCTCCCTATGAAAGTTCCTCTGGCTCTGAGGCTTCTGAGCGCTCAGCGCGCTGCGAAGTTGTGATGCTCGCTCAATCGCAAGATGCTCGCTTTTGATGACGAAAAATGTTTCGACATCTTCGTAACTGGAGGAGCCCATTGAAACCATTCATTTGCATGTGCATTCTGGTTAGGGATTGAATGTCATGCCCAGTCATGCCAGTAAACAAGGCCGTGCCAGGTATTTTACTTGACTTTTATATGCCTTACTTTTTGCCGTATGACCTATATCTGATTTAATGAAGCTTACGGTGAAAAGGGATAGCATTGTAACTTATCCTTTCCCAATTGCGCATGATGTGAACGACGGTTAGGTTCCAGCTTCATTTAGGGCAGCGAATTTAAATACTGCTGTATTTTAGAGAAATACCTAGGGATAAGTGTTATATTATTTGACCTTGAAACACGTTTTAGACCATTTTAGACCCCGTTTTTATGAGTGGTGATGTGTGTGTGGTATGCTATTTCACAGGGCATTTCTTGATACTTCCAATATTCCCAAGCATGTCCATTTCTAATTTGAGGCAGTCAATTATTCGAAATTGTTTCAGCGTGCCTAGCAAAGCCATCTATACCTAGAGTCAGGGATGCGGAGCCGTGGAAATTTCAGACGGCTCCGGCTCCGGCTCCGGCTCCGGAGAAAAAAATCGGCTCCGGCTCCGGCTCCGGCTCCGGGTGAAATGTTGTGGCGGCTCCGGCTCCGGCTCCGGCTCCGAGTAAAATGGTACGGCTCCGGCGGCTCCGGCTCCGGCGGCTCCGGCTCCGACTCAGTACATCCTCTATGCAATCAGTTAGATACGGGTGGAAGAAAAATGGGATTGGTTATACGCGTTACTCTTTGCCATGACCGGCTCACCGCAACCCCGCGCAAACGCACCTCGGAGAGAACTGGCAGAACAAAGGACTAGGAAGCGATGGCATTGGAAACGCAGTCGCCGCGAATTGGAGTTCACTGAACCATCGTAAGCTGACACCAGTCTCGGCTGCATTGGGGGGTGGGAGTGGGGGTGGGGGGTGGTGGGGGGGGGAGGGGAAGAGACGGTGCTGGGAGTCGCAGTCCACTGCACTGGCTTGAAAACAATGGCCGTCACCTGATGACCGGTCCTCATGTTCTGGGCATGCAGTAGACGTGGGGGGGGGGGGGAGGAGCAGACAAGAAGTTGATTGCGTAATGCGTACTGTGGGATACTGGGGATATTCGGCTTTTTTCATTCACTTGATGGCCCATGACGTAAGTAAAGTACCATATGTTTTACTGCCTTGTACTGTCAAACCGAACTAGGTCAATTATTTTTTTTCCTCTTCAAAAAATAAAAAGGAGCCGGAGTCGCCCCCTTTTTTGGCGGCTCCGGCTCCGGCTCCGGCTCCGGGCTATATTGTTTCACGGCTCCGGCTCCGGCTCCGGCTCCGGGCAAAATATGCCGGCTCCGGCGGCTCCGGCTCCGACTCCGGCTCCGGCTCCGCATCCCTGCCTAGAGTGCCTAGTATGTGCGCCATACGGACACGGTGACTGTCTCGTCATTTCCGCCCATTCCACATTTGTTGAGGTGGCTGGTTCAGTATCTTGGCTGATTTTTTCTTCGGAAAATCGGTTGAATATAAGATGTCCCAGTCCAAGAAACGAAGCTCAGCATCTCAGAATGAGGATATCCAATGCCGCACAGTGGTTAACAATAGTAGCCTGCGCTTTATGAGGTAGGTTTAACCGTTTAACCTTTCCTTTCTTGTTCTGAAAGCATTTTTGGTTTAACTGAAGTTTTTGCATGCCATGTCAATGTGAAGGTTTAGATGTAAGATCAAGGCCTTATATACCTGTAAGATGACGTTTCTGTTTCGGAAGCCAAATCTTGGTTTTGGAAGCCCCCGTAAACGGTCACCCACCGCACGTGAGCCTGCTCGTGAGGAGCATACTCATCAGATGAAGGTGGCCGTTCAGCCCGGAATAAGGGTTTTGAGACGTGAAGGAGGGACTGTCTTGAGGATGGAAAAGGGAACGACGGTGACGGTACTGATGATTGTTTGTTTTTAATAGATTTGTAGCTTTAGGTTTTTAGCTTTTCTACTGAGCGGAATGCTCACCGTCCGTGCGCTATCTGCCGGCAGGGGGATGCTGCGCAGTCGGAGGCCGCTGGCGCTGGCCGCCGCCATCGCCGTGCTCACCGTGTGCCTGGTGGCCGTGCTGAGGACGCGGCCGGTGCCCTACCCATCCGCCGGCGCCCTGTCGCTCCAGGATGGCGTGCCCGAGATGCAGGTGGCCCCGGTGGTGGCCTGTCCGCCGGTGCTGGTGCAGGGCGTGCTGCGCGGCCCGGCCGCGCCGGCGGCCGGCGCGCGCGACCTGGCCACCGTGTACGTCATCACGCCGACGTACCCGCGCGCCGTGCAGGTGCCCGAGATGACGCGGCTGGCGCAGACGCTGATGCTCACCTCGAACGTGTTCTGGGTGGTAACCGAGGACGCGGCGCAGCGCACGCCGGCCGTCACCGAGATCCTGGAGCGCTCCGGGCTGCCGCACGTGCACATCCTCGGTGAGTGGACCGCCACAGGCTCAGCATCTGCACATAAAGCTGACGTGATGAAAGCGAATGGAGTGCCTCCCGGGAGATGGAACCCTACATTGCAGGGGGTTCTATGATGTGTCGTGTAGTGCGATGCATTTGTTAATCAAACAATGCATATAATTGATTGTTTCACAATGCATTGCTGAGGGACTTCATGTCATTTTTAACTTGCTGGAGCGTTTGCATACCTGTAGTCATGGATCACTGGACGAAAACATTGCATAGGTATCTCTTTGCAGATACGGCAAACACTGGTTTACCAGTTGCCTTTTTCCCGAGCATTTCCCGAACTTTCGCTAGCACATAGTCACGAAGTACCGAGACTTATCTGTCACTGTATGATAAGTGGCGTGGGGCCCGGGGTGCGGATGTCCACATTATCGCGGGGCTCGGGCAGATGTCGTTTCTCCCGCGCCACGGCGTGGGCCGCGGGAGGGTGATATCGGTCTGCGACGCGCCCTACTTGGAGCTCTGAGCGGCCCGCTGTGTCCCGACCGCGCCTGGTGACGGGTGGTAGCTGATAGAAATCGTACCTGCTGCACTGACTGCAGCGCTGGTAGGTACAGGTCTCGCGGGTTTTAGCGGATGGGTTTGCACCTAGAAAATTTAGTGTACTTCTGGCTATATCTTCGTCGTCTTAAGCTTTTAAGTATTGAAGATACGATCGACTTGTTGGGTAACAAGCCGGCCATGATCGTGTAAAATGGCTTCATCGTAGATCGATTAGTTTCTGAGATATAACCGGAAATGTAAAAGTGCAAAACCTACCGCTTAATCTCGCGAGAGCCGTACATACGTACAAATCTGTTCGGAAATTTACTTGCTACAGTATCTACGACTCAGACAACTCAGAGTTTAACTAAAATGGCACAGCACGACTCAGGCAACCACAATACGACTAATTTTCGCGGGCTGCAGCGCGCTTTATGGTGTCAGAGTCCAGACTCTTGATGCATGATACGAAAAGTCTCCCGAGCCGATGCTCTCATCTCAGTTCGAAGAATGACCCAAATGACCTGACGTACCTACCGTTAAGCCGTTAAGTTGCCGTTAAGGCTGACCCACAGCTTTCAAGCGTGCGAATCGCGCCTCAGCACCTCCCATTGGCTGGAAAGTGGAATACATTCATGATTTTCCGCTTCCAACCCGCAGATTAATGCGCTATGAGTTGGGAATGGAAAATATGCCATGTATTCCAATGGGAGGCGCTGAGACGCGATTTGCACGTTTTAAAGCTGTGTTCCAGACTTAATGGCATGCTCAGACCCAAGGCCCTAAAACATACAAAAAAACATATATATAAAACATATATATATATAAAAACATAAACTAAAACATATAAAAGCTCAGACCCATGGTATCGGTGCCATTCTCCTCCTATATATGGCCTTGATTCTCCTCCCGTCCGTATGCTGTTCACCAGCCCGCTCACACGGAAACCCAGCGGGCTGGCCGCTGATTGACGCCTCCATGACGCGGCAGGTCTGAAGCCGGAAAAGTACTCCAAGGAGGCCGGCTTTAAGGGCGCCGTGCCTCGCGGCGTGTCGAACCGAATGGCCGCGCTGCAGTGGCTGCGAGAGAACGCCGAGAAGGGCGTGTTCTATTTCGCCGACGACGACAACACCTACGACTACCGGCTGTTCGCTGAGGTGGGTGGGCTCTCTCCCGACACTGTTTGGAGGCTCTGTCGGCCAGGCGCGGATACAAGGGGGGGGGGGGGCATGGGGGCCATGGCCCCCCCCTTGGCCGATTTTTTTTCAAAAATAAAATAAAAAGTTAAAAATTTAAAAAGCTGAAAAGGGGGCCTCCTGAAAATAAAGTGGCCGAAATCCGATGAGTTTTTTTTTTTTAACCTACCCACTTAGTTATTTCTTAGAAGACTAGCTGAGAAGACTTCTTTGTTAGAAGATTGGTAAAGCTTTTCATAACTTGGAGGTCTCTTATACTCACAGAGATGACCACTTTTACAGGGCTTCCTAACCTGCACAGAGGGCCTCCAAGCCTGCACAGATGTTGAGATGTTGCCTGAACAGCTAGATAAGCTCAATAGACGCAGTTTTTTTTTGGGGGGGCCAACAAGTGGGAAGATGGGGCCTCCAACAGGTGGGATTATGGGGGGGGGCCTCCTGGTTTCTAATGGCCCCTCCCTTGGAGATTTTCTGGATCCGCCCCTGCTGTCGGCAGTGGTTCCTTGCAGCACGATCTGCATCTGCTCTTCGTGGTCCGCGCCAGTTGTTTGCTGTCGCATGTTTTGTTACATACCATAGTATGGATGGGTATCTGAATTGGACATGTGTATAAGTTCTTACGATAGACCATTACATGGCCAACAACAACGTGATTCTCACTGAGCAATCCCTTTCATCCAAAAATAAAAGAAATGCCTTCTGCCTTCCACACTCTGACTGGCAGTGCTTTCGTGTTGGGATGAGCCCCTCCTCCATATGTCGTGTCACCTACACTGACCCTGTGTTTACCACCGCGCTTACCCCGCCAGCTGGCGCGCACGCGGCGCGCGTCGGCGTTCCCAGTGGGTCTGGTCACCCAGGCCGGTCTGAGCACGCCCGTGGTACGGAACGGCGCCGTGGTCGGCTTCTACGACGGCTGGATCGGCGGCCGCACCTTCCCGATGGACATGGCTGGCTTTGCCGTCAGCGTTCAGCTGCTTCTCGAGGTGAGCCGCGGCGCGGGACTTCCCGGTCGGGCGGCGCTGCAATGTGTGCATGACACTGCATCTGGAGACGGTCGGGCTCGCGCTACTTTGATGTGACTGACCTGTTGGCATCTGGCAGATCAGCCGTGCGGTGCAGGCACAATACGAATAACGGGACGGGACGGGACGGGACGGGACGGGAACAGAACGACATGGGGCGGGCGGGGCGGGACGGGACGGGACGGGACGGGACGGGAACAGAACGACATGGGGCGGGCGGGGCGGGACGGGACGGGACGGAACGGAACGGGACGGGACGGCATGGGGCGGGCGGGACAGGACGGGACGGGACGGGTCAGGACGGGACGGGACGGGACGGGACGGGACGGGACGGAACGGGACGGGACGGGACGAGAACGGCATGGACTGTATGTACGAGACGGCACGGGGCAGCACGGGACTTAACTGCACGGAACGGACGGCACGGGAAGAAGCAGGTGAATGCACAGTGAGAGGTCATCGTCCCATGCAACATCATGCACCCGATGAACTGTAGGGAAGGCCGAGTCACCGTCAGCCACCCGCAGTGCATGCAATATGCATGGTGGCAGGCGGACCAACGCAGGTCTTGGCAACCACCTACCTTTGTGATTCTAATTATGCTCTAGACATGTATATCTGATTAGATGGACGTTTGAAAAGGATTAATATCAAGTGATGGTTTTCCATAGACTGATTGGTTTGACAAGCTAGGTAGATGATAATATTTTGTTATCGTTTGTGTTTTAGAACCGGTTAAATTAACAGCTGATGAATTATATGAATTTGGTGGCACGGCTGGCAGGACGCCAGTTCGGCGAAGGGAGTCGTTGAGGGAGGAGCGAGGTCATACCCCGGCTCTGCCATTCTCGGGCGGACTGGGCGGTTCCCCAGTCTCCGGACGGGGCTCGGTCCGTTCGCCCAGCTCCAGAGGACACCCCACTCTGGAGACGCGCGTCGGCCACCGGCCGTCATGGGATGGATCCACGTCGGGTGGGCTGGGTGTGCCGACGCTCCGTATCGTTGCGACAGGACGTGCTCGCTCCCAGTGGGTGCGAGCACGCTGAGCAGCTGTTCTACACACACACGCTATCTTTCACCCATGGATGGCTCACAGTCGGCGTTAGCTATCCGTGCCTCACCTTGCTGGCCGGTTTGCTGGAGCTCAAAAGACGGAAACTTACATCATCGATGGTTGGTGCAATATTGTTCCAGCAAACACAGCGGTTTTGTCAAAGCCCGTTAGTGGTCACCAGAGTTTCGTAGACCAGCTGAAAGTAAAGTCAAACAAGCATTGCCTTTTAGATCTAATGAATTCATGACATCTGCTGCATCATACATAGGTTGAGTCCAGCTGGGGTGAACGAACTTTGGCGGTGCGGTCACAGTATGGGTCTGACCTACTATGATGGCGCGGGGAAACTCTGGCGGCACTTGGTCCCCTCCCCATAACAAGGCTGCTCAGCTGGCTGGTTATACATCGCCATGCAATATGTATCCACCACCTGGCGCCCGACTGACCGGCCCGCTCACGCGACCGACCGAGTGACCCGGTCGGCGGCCGGCCTGTCGAGGCCGAGCTCCATCGCGCTTCAGTCATCGACCGGGCCCGCGCAGTGGGGCAGCTCTGCACATTATGCATGCGAATATCCCGCGCGTGCTGCAAGCAGTGTACATAACGGCTTAAAGGGACCCTCCCACCTTCAAAAAAGTTAATGAATTGGCATGAAAGTGATGTCGCTCGGTTCAGAAAGAGCAAAAACGAATATCTACCAAATTTCATAGAAAAATATTCACCGGTTTTCAAGATATTAGACTTTTACTTTTGTTTACTTTTTGGGATCTCCGCTGTTCCTAGCGACTTTATTTGAAAGTGCGGCATTTGTTGCGCGCAAAGCAGCATATACCACCGCGTGCTACAAAACGTTTTAGTCAAACATTTAACGGACGTTCGAAAGCCTGATGACGTCATCAGATTCCCGTAATGGTTAAGAGATAGGGACCACGCTGGTCCCACCCTGCAAGTAAAGGGAAGAAATTTCTTGAACACCATAAAGCTGCGGGGGTTGCGACCAGGATAAATGGTGGTTTCTGAGCCTGGCCGCAAACTTGGCTATCTCAACTCAAAACTAATGTTAAGGTGGGAGGGTCCCTTTAACGACAGCGCGTCTACTCGCTTGTTAGTGCTCACTTATACTTCACAGTACGTGTTTGCATGATTAATAGTGAGAAACGTGACTGGTGACACTATTGAGGGACATGGAGAAATAATAAACGAAAAAGCTCAGTGTGTGTTCATGCCGATATAAATTGTGTGCTTCATGTGGCCACTGTCGACTATCTATCCATCAGTGACGTGCAGGTAAGCTGTAAATTACAGTGCGATATGCACCATGCAAAGTGCCAATCATGATAACCTTTCATTTTCCCTAAAATAAATTACAAAGCCATAAAGGCCAGAGGGTAAAGCAAAGTTTAGGAAGGTTCAGACATAGAGATCTTGGTTCAGAGACCACTTAACTCAATTAGGTGCTTAAAAGGTACGTACTCATTTCACACATATGGCTTGATACGGTAATCATCATTTCCTAGTACTTAAACTCCACAGCTGCTAAAGTCGGCAGCACTGAGCGGCCTCGGCCAGTGACTCGACGGTTGTGCGGTGCACCACCGCGCAGTGACCCGACCCGTGCGCCGAGCGGCCCCGCTGCACAGTGACCCGACGGCTGGTGTGTGGTGCCCCCCGCTGTCTGTGACCCAACCCGTGTGTGGTGCCCCCCGCTGTATGTGACCCAACACGTGTGTGGCGCCCCCCCCCCCCCGCTGTCTGTGACCCGACCCATGCGTGCCGCGCGGTGCCCCTTGCCGACGGCGCGGCCGGTAGCCCGACGCCTGATGTGGCCGGCCCCTGACGGCCTTTCTCTGCGGACAGCACCCGAAGGCGGCCATGCCGTTCACGGCCGGCTATGAGGAGGACGGCTTCCTCAAATCGCTCGGCCTCAAGAAGGACGACCTCGAGCCTCTGGCAGACAACTGCACCAAGGTAAGGTCCGGCCGGCCGCGGGCTCGCCCCTCCGGCGCCGTCGTGCGCGCCCGCCGGTCCGCCGGCTATCGGCGCCGGCTATCGGCCGCGCTGCCACCTGCGAAACGGGCAGCCACGCGGCCACGTCACAGCACTGACACCGGACACCCCCGAGCGCCGCCCACCCCTCCCCTCGCCCCTCCGGCGCCGCCGGCGCCACCCCTGGGCGCCGCGGAGGGGACCCCACACACAGGCGCTCGTTTGTGGGCTTACGCGGAGTGTTGGTAAACGCGATGTAGAAGAAAGGATAAACAACAAGCATGCACCCTAAAGAATGCACCCGAACCTGGGCTTGTTCATGTGAGCCCGACAAAAGTGGATAGGCACGCTATCATTTGCTATCTGTTGAGCAATGCGGCTGGTTCAATGTTTGCGCCGATTATGTGTTTTCTAGGTACGGTGATGAAATTCTAAAGATATGTCTTACACTTGAAAAACTCAACACTGGCGTTCCCTTGTCAACGCTTGCCCCAAGACATTTTTAAATCGCCCAGCGCGGCGTTATGAAGCCTTATGTTTTAACTGGTCTATTTTTGTGATGTGCAATAAACATCATTAATCATTATGCGTCGCATCAATTTTTCTTTTTTCCTGTATGTTTGATGCAGTCTTGCAATGCAATCCAGCCATCCAAGAAACTTTGCGCGAGACGTTTTCTTGGATGGTTTTCTTGGATAGCTTGATTTCATCGAGGGCTTCTGTTTTAAAGAAAATTTGTAAGCTTTGCTGCACTGTTAAGTAATTAGAACTGCCAGTATTTCAGTACCTAACGTGTAGTTAATGTTACTGTATTTTATTTATGCATATTTCGGCCTTTTTTAAGCAGATAACGAGCGATATTAAGAAACATACAGGAAATAATATCTAGGACTCTACCGCGACGAAATATTTCTATCTCGAGTTTTCAAAGAATTTCATGCACTCGGCCAAGGCCTCGTGCATGAAATCCCTTGAAAACTCTCGATAGAAATATTTCGTTTTCGCGGTATCGTCCAAGAATGTATAATACTAAAGGCATAAAAGAAAAATCGTGGCAATGCAAAACACAATTCAGCAACCAGATGGAAACGGGACAGTTTTCGCCTAAATGGGATCGTATGGACCCCTCGGTTTCCAGACCATGAGTAGCCCGAATAGATAGCGGCGGACTGGCAATAAGGACCGAACGGCGGTAGGTCGGACCGATCCCCCGCCATGTGATAGGCGCTATAAAAAGTCGAATATTAGCGAGTGTAAAGAACCTACAAAGAAAGACGCGGCGAATTGCTTGCAATAAACCGCATGCAGATCGTCATTCACAGGAGTAGGCACAGTTCTCGTTTCTGCGTGTTTGGAGTTTTTTTTTCAGCAAAAGCGAACCTCGAAGGCTATGTTATCGGTCAATACGAAATATGTAATTATAAAATACCGCACGGGGCTGGTAATGATCTGGTAACGGTATGACGAGGATGTGGATTGAGCCCATCCTGCGCCCACCCGACTGGTGGCGGGGATGAACTGCGTTTGGTCCACCCGCCGCGCCGATCGGCTCCAGCCGCAGCCAGTTGAAGTCGGTTGAGTATTGAGTAAGACCATAGTGTAATAAATAAGATGATAAATACGTCTCTCAAGTGACCACGTACCACGTATGGTAAGACGACGGGCCGTGTCTTGAAAGGGTCTTAACCCGTGCCCCGTTGGGGTCTGCCGAGCAACGTGCCCTGTGTGTGTGTGGGGGGGGGGGGCATTTTGGCCCCCCTCTAGACCTCGAGAACCACGCAACATAGAGTTCAGTGCGCGCAACATAGTGACAAGTTGCAAACAGTGTTGGATAGCCCCAACGGAGAACTAGGGGAGAGTGGGGCAAAGCGGCCACCCGGGGCAAAGCGGCCATCCATCGTTTTAGCCCTCCACAGCTGGCGTCAGTTCCAATTTATGATTTCCAATTATACTTCTCTTTGCGGTCGTTCGAATGAGCCAGACCGGGGTTTCAGGCCCATCGCCATTGTTCTGTGAAACACGGAAAAGCATTTCTTGCCAGGTTACCAATTATGTTTACAATTTTTAAATGTTATTTTATTCCATAACCGTTTGGAATTTTTATAAGCGTTTTTGTCCATGCATTGCGTGGTTATCGTACATGCCTTCTACCAATTTTAATGCTTTTTACCCCACTAATAGCTGAGCTGGAATATTTTTGTCTCGGACGGTATGCGCGGGGCAAAGCGGCCGGGGCAAAGTGGCCAGCCCCCAATTGGCCATAAGTTGTTTCCATCTGGATAAAAACATTATTTATATTCAAATGTGTCGTCATGCATTCATCTTGGCCACTTTTCGGTTACATGAGTTACCAAATTATGCAATTAAATGTTTTTCCAAGAAAATTCTTTCTTTGTTTAGCAATAGGTGGGACACTGGCGGATCCAGACTTGCGTTTTGGGGGGGGGGGGCAACTCCTGCAAGTAACCAAACCTAGGGTACCCCCAAATCCTGTTTTCTCATCGGATTTAGGCCACTTATTTTTTCGTCACAGCCCTGAAACGATATTTTTTAAACTAAAAATAAAAAAATAGAAATGGTAGCCCACCCAACCCGAGCCTAAATATTACTTTGAAAACACTTCAAATTGCTTTTGTCGACCAATTAGCCCGCTCCGGGTCGGTGCGTGGCGCAGCCTTCGCGGGCTGGGAGGTGTCGGTTGGACCCCCTGCCGTTCGGCCCCTGATTAAGCTAGAGCTCGCGGAAAAAAAAAAACAGGCGTGTTGCCCGTGAGTGACGAGACGAAGCCGATGATACCCGATTTTAAGGTCCTTGGTCATTGGTTGACCTTCCAGGGCGGTGTTTCACGGTCGTGCTGACAGCCGCTGATAGCGCATTCCGCGAGCTAAGGCCAGCCTTCGGTAGTGTTGTGGGTATAGGCTTGTTGATGTCTCCATTGAAACCAAAAGTGCCATCAGCGCTGGCAGCGGCTGGCAGCGTGCCGTGAAACACCGCCCAGGTCAGGTCACAGACCCAAAAGACGGGAAAATCAGGACCTGTCAGAACCTCCTAAAGTAAGGCTGTAATACGTTTTTTTGTGCTGATCACAAATTTCATGTTAGTTTGGATCATAGATAATGTCTTCATGCGTTTAGACCATGTCGGGGCAGGTCAGGTCAGATCAACCAGTAGGAGTACTTATGGGCGTCCGTATAGCAGGTGTCCACTACCACTGGCAGCTACGTAACATGATACGAAGGCATCAAAACCAGACATGTGCTTGGATCCGGAAAAATGGATCTGAGATCCGATCCCATGGATCCAGATCCGAGATCCATTCAGATCATAGATCCAACCCCTCCATTTTGTCGAGAGATCTACTGGGATCATAGATCTGACCCTTCAATTTTGTCGCTAGATCCACTCGGATCATAGATCTGGCTCCCCAATTTTGTCGTGAGATCCATTGGGATCATAGCTCATAGGTGCTCAAAATGTTAACAACTTTCTTTCATAAGAAGTTATGAATACCAAAGTATGGTTAGAAACAAACAGTCTTATACAAAGGACATATTAGTAAAGGCATCCAGTTACATTATACAGAATTCAAAATAAAGGAGGCTCATGACAGTCACAACTTGAGAGAATTGAGTGACATGAAGATTGTTCACAGTTCACATACCAGTTGGGGGAGGTTTGGTCAATGGTTGTCATTTTTAGCACATGCCATTTTTGGCAACCATGTGCTAAAAATGACAACGCTATCAGCTATTTTTAGCAACGATGAAGCCGATTTCACTCCTCAGTGAGGAAATCACGATTTTGGAAATACAAGCACTGATTTTGGAAAAGAAGTGCTGCCACCTGGTGCAAGAAGAAGAAACCAGCTTTAATATGGCCGTTGCTTGTATGGTAGTCCAACGTTGAAGTATACCCTTTTTTGTGGCCCGAAGTTGGAACTTTAAATTGAAGCATCCGAAAATGATCGATATTGATCGAAATCATGATGTTGATGAAAAAAATAATATGTTAAGTTGAGAGAGGAGGCCATTTTATCCAGATGCGGTGGTTTACTTCTTGAAATTATTTTTGCTTACGATGACTGCCATGTAATGAGGGATAATTAGCAGCCGTCATTAGCAAAAATAATTTCAAGAAGTAAACTACTGCATCTGGATAAAATGGCCTCCTCTCTCAACTTAAAATATTATTTTTTTCATCAACATCATGTTTTCGATCAATATCGATCATTTTCGGATGCTTCAATTTTAAGTTCCAACTTCAGGCCACAAAACAAACTACCATACAAATAACAGGCATATTAAAGCTGGATTCTTCGTCTTGCACCAGGTGGCAGCACTTCTTTTCCAAAACCAGTGTTTATCTTTCCAAAATCTTCATTTCCTCGCTGAGGAGTGAAATCGGCCTCATCGTTGTCAAAAATAGCAGAATCGTTGTCATTTTTAGCACGTGTGACAAAAATAGCACGTGCTAAAAATGACAACGATTGACCAAACCTCCCCCGACTGATACCTACCAACAGAAAAGTTTGCATTAACAATTAACATAGAGGTAAGTCAAAGTAATGACTAATGAACAATACATAACTAGGTACCTACCACATCACAATTCATGTTAGAACCTAGGTACATAATGATATTGATAAGACAATCTTGCATTAGACAACCATGAGGCTTTCCAGTTTCCACTTTCCAGCTACCACAGTCCACAATTGATTGATAAACAATAAAAGATGATACTAACACATGTGGCTTGGTTAGGTAAAGGTATTTCAATCTATTGAAAGAAATATTTGATAAAATAAACTGAGATATAAACAAAAGTATAAAGATATTCAACAGCCTGCGGAAGCGGTGGGAAGCGAAATATCAATTGTCATGGCCTTGGATATTTACCGTAAAATGATTATTCAGTATCTAAATAGAACTCGTGACGTCATTTCAAATAACAAATGAGCTAGGCGTTCTACCTTCGAGTATAAT